TTTAATCTCTTTAGAAGGGATTCATACTAGTGATTTGTCTAGTGGTGCTTCTCTTGGACAGCAGCAGCAGAAACCAGCTGGGGTTTAATGTTCAAAATCCTATTTTTCCTGTAGTTATGTGTAATCCTTATTTGTTGTTGCTGTTTCTAGCTGCACTGCATTCTTTCATGAACACAATCGTATCATCAAATACTGTGTATACACTGCATCCTAATATTGTCTGAGCCATGGACTTTGAACACACAAAAGTGACTGTTAGTAGTTGGAGCTCTACTGAAGTGCAACTGTCAACCAAATATTTGTTGTTTTTGATTTGTTGATGTTTGTACAACTGCATAACACACAGATTGAATCTGTCCTGACAGGGCTGTGATACCAGCTACATGTGTCAAACCCATCAGCACAGACCTCAGGACGCTGAAAAATCAAAAAGACCAGTGGTAAGTTACACAAACATCTCAGGCCAACTCTCAGCATAGGGAAGTCTTGACAGAAACATCCCACACATCTGTTGTCTGTCCACTCTCTAGACACAAAGACGACAATGGTGTTTCGGTGGAATCCATCACACTGACCTGGCAACAAGAAAGTCGCAAGGCTTGCAGGAAACAGCTTCAACATCCCACCTTATATAATACTAATCGAACAGCCAGGAAACAGCTTCAACATCCCACCTTGTATAATACTAATCGAACAGCCAGGAAACAGCTTCAACATCCACCTTGTATAATACCGAACAGCCAGGAAAACAGCTTCAACCCCACCTTGTATAATACTAATCGAACAGCCAGGAAACAGCTTCAACATCCCACCTTGTATAATACTAATCGAACAGCCAGGAAACAGCTTCAACACCCCACCTTGTATAATACTAATCGAACAGCCAGGAAACAGCTTCAACATCCTACCTTGTATAATACTAATCGAACAGCCAGGAAACAGCTTCAACATCCCACCTTGTATAATACTAATCGAACAGCCAGGAAACAGCTTCAACACCCCACCTTGTATAATACTAATCGAACAGCCAGGAAACAGCTTCAACATCCCACCTTGTATAATACTAATCGAACAGCCAGGAAACAGCTTCAACACCCCACCTTGTATAATACTAATCGAACAGCCAGGAAACAGCTTCAACATCCTACCTTGTATAATACTAATCGAACAGCCAGGAAACAGCTTCAACATCCCACCTTGTATAATACTAATCGAACCGCCAGGAAACAGCTTCAACATCCCACCTTGTATAATACTAATCGAACAGCCAGGAAACAGTATCTCCATCAGTGTGATTTCCTTTTGTCCTGTAATCTGCTACATTTCTGTCACCATTCTTTCTTCAAAGTAATGAATTATCTCAGTGATGCTATATTAAGAAGATAATTTTTCAGTGTTTCCCTGTCTTCTGGACTTACTGGAACCTTGTTGCCTCCATAAGCTTCACTTGGGTCATCTTGTTTTTACCATCTCAGCCCTTCTGTTGTGCATAAAAACCTGCAGTTGCATCTTTAAATTATTTGTCATAGTTTTTTGTTGTTGTTCTCCACGTTTTTTATGCGTACAGCATCACTAATATTGAAAGGGTTTAACATTTTTATTTTTATTTGCTTTGATTTGCACTCATGTGAGGGCTGTAAGAAAGCCAAACATGTCTTTTGCATGAGAAGGCCTGTGCTTGTATTTACTGTTTATTTAAGGGGAGGGGGCTTCAGTTTGTTGACAGTGATTAGGTTCTTCATGGCTCCATCTCTTATCACAAACTATCTCTGTGTCTCTCCATCCTCTTGTATCCCCTCTGTATCTTGTCTGATACTGCCATTCTCTCTTTTTTTCTCTCCCTCTCCCCATGCCCCTCTCTCCACAGACTCACATTCTGTGTTTAAGTCCCTCTTTGTCTTTCTCTCTTTGTGTTTCTCACTGTTTTTCTGCCTTGTTTGCCCCCCCCCCCCCCCCCTTTCTCTCCCTATCAGTGAAGTGTTATATAATAATCACATAACTACATCCTAGTTATGTCTTGCAGAACAGAACTAGCCTTTGTCATCCCCACACGTTAGCTTTTTGTGCCTGGATAGATCATTCTGGTCTTTGTTGTCTTGAAGCATTTCAGAAATCCCTGGTTGAGCTGAAAGAGTATCAGGACAAACTACAGGAGAGGGAGAAGATGGGCGCTAACTCTACGGCACCAGAATCAGATGAAGATAGTGAGGAGGAGTTTCAAAATGGAAAGTCTGCTGATGGGAGTGAAGAGGATCTTGGGAAATATGAAAGCATAAACATTTCAGAAGTGGGGCGAAGAAAAAGCAATAAAAATCCACACAGGAGATCAAAAGCAAAGAGGAAAGACTCCAAAAGTAAGTTGATAGTCAGCTATATATTAGTCAATTGAAATTTTGTACTCAGGTAAAGTGGTAGATTTGTGTGCTGCGTGATCGCTTAGCTGAGCTGTCCGATAAGTTTATACTATACTTTGATCAGCTGATAGATTACTACAGAAAGTTTATAGACAGTACCATTTTTAGATATCAGGCAGTATTGTGATGGCTTGTGCAAGTGCACATTTGTACACTGTCTTGTTTATATTTAAAAACTGCAGTGCGGAGGATCATCCACTTGGCACATGGAACCATTCAGTCCGTAAGTGCTTGGGTCCCCTTCTCAGTCAGTCCCACAGCCCCAGTTATGCATTGATTTATTGTTATAAATTGTATTCCTTCCTGTGTGGTGCTCTTGCCTGTCCACGCCCCTTTTAACATGTTGTTCTTGCAATCTGATCATGGTTGCAGATTCACAGTCATCACTTGATTCTTGCAATCTGGTCATGGTTGCAGATTCACAGTCATCACTTGATTCTTGCAATCTGATCATGGTTGCAGATTCACAGTCATCACTTGATTCTTGCAGTCTGATCATGGTTGCAGATTCACAGTCATCACTTGATTCTTGCAGTCTGATCATGCTTGCAGATTCACAGTCATCACTTGATTCTTGCAATCTGATCATGGTTGCAGATTCACAGTCATCACTTGATTCTTGCAGTCTGATCATGGTTGCAGATTCACAGTTATCATTTGGTTCTTGCAGTCTGATCATGGTTGCAGATTCACAGTTATCATTTGGTTTTTGCAGTCTGATCATGGTTGCAGATTCACAGTCATCACTTGATTCTTACAATCTGATCATGGTTGCAGATTGTAAATTCAAACACATGTGTTAGTATCAGTTGCTGGTTGTCCCTGTTTGTTGGTTTTTACAAGACATGGCACAGGGATACATGGCACAGTGATACATGTAAATGAATCGTGGTCATTTGGACAATTAGTGAAAGAGTATTTGGAAGCGGTGGAGGTGTGGTTTTTATATACGAATTAGGAGAATACCCTGGACAGATAGAAATAGTAACGAGGATGTCTTAAAAGAAACTAACTTAAGAGAACTGATTGCTTATAATAGGAGACAATCTACATTCTATGGTCATGTCATCATCATCCTTCATGTGCCGTTAGGCGTCGCCACATAGGGCTCACATTTGATAACTCTACTCAGCTCTGTTGCATACAAATCACTTGATTTCTGGCACGGAGTTCAGCCAGTGTTTTTAGCTTCTTGTAATATTCTTCTTAGTATTTCTTTTCTATATCCTTTTTTTCTCAGACCGTTTGTTTCCCATTCCAGTGCTCATTTCATCTCAGAGTGTGCCCAAAAATATGCTCACCTTCTTTGTCTTATTGTAGTCGATACAGGTATTTGCCCAGAATTTCTTTGATCTCCTCATTTCTTAAAAGTTCATGGCGTGTTATGTTTATGATTTTTCTCAGACATTGGTTTTCAAATGCATTTAACTTTTGTTCCATATCTTTGGTAGTTCTCAACTTTTGCTGCCATATGTTAGAATTGAAATAACATTAGAACTGAAGATTGTTATGAGGTGCTCAAACTGTATCACTTCTAGCCCAATATTTGGTTAAGGCTTTTAAAGACTGTTGTTGTTTTGCCAGTGCCTATCATAATTTCCTTCGTTGTATCTCCTTGAGAGTCAAAATTGCTGCCCAGATAGCGAAAAAATTTGTTACTGTTATTTGTAACTATAATATTTTTTTTTCTCATAACCTATCTGTTGTCCTATTTTTGATGCTGAAGATGACAAATCACCTGTTTTTCTTTGCATGTCTGTTATTTTTACTGAACAGAACAATGTCATCTGTGAAATGAAGATCTTCTGGTTGTCTGTTGTCTACCCAATCATTTCAATGCCAGTTTTGCCTTTGTAACATTTGTTCTTGACCCAGTCAGTGGATACACTACCAACAAGTCAGATCAAATGGAGTCTTGTTTTACTCCAGGTTCCACCAAAAACCTGGTCACATACTATTTTCAGCATGTGCTGCACAGTGAACTTTTTTGTTTCAGTCTTTGGCTCTCTGTTCTCTGCTGTGTTTTTTTTTTTTACAGCTGCTTTGAGTTTCAATTTCACTTGTCTTATGCAAAGGTTGTGATCACTTCCAACGTCTGCTCCTCTGTATGATGCACAGACATTGGTCATGTCATAGGAAAGAGAAAACTGAAGTATGTTGTAATGATGGGAAAGTTAGGAGAAGCAACAGTAGACCGAGAGAAAACTGAAGTGTGTCGTGATGGTGGGAAAGTTGGAGGGCAGGAGAAGCAGAAGTAGACCGAGAGAAAACTGAAAAGTGTCATGATGGTGAGAAAGTTGGAGGGCAGGAGAAGCAGAAGTAGACGGAAAGAACAGGTGCTAGACAGTTTGACATCATGGCATGGATGATCATCTGGGTCAGAATTGTACACAAGACACAAGGTTGAGCATAACATGACTACCAACACCATATGGCCTGGACTATAAGAAAAAGAAGAAGAAGTTGATTGCTGTGATGTAGAAATTGTAGTAATTGTGTTTCCCCTTTATTTAGTTCAGAGAAGAAAGGCAGAGAAGAGGAAAACATGAGAGCCGCACAGAAGAAACACAAGAGCAGGACGAGGAGATGGCTAACAGGCAGGTGTCATCAACCAGTGTAGACAGACTTGCCAGGAAACACAGCAGACAGTCTTCTCAGGTGAGTCATCTGTTGAAACTTTGTACACTGTGAGACAGAAAGGGGTGAGTTCAGTAGTATGACATACCATGACACCATAGTTCAGTCCTTGGAACATATCACCAATGAAAAAGAAGAAAGGGTTGAGTTGTCTGTGAACATTGTCACTAAATTGTTGAAAATTGTGAGTTCAGTCATCATTTCATGACATTGTTGTTTGAGTTCAGTCATTGGAACATTGTCACCATGACATTGTTGAAACAGGTGAGCCAGCACAGAAGAAACACACCATGACATTGACGAAAGGGGTGAGTTAAGTCATTGGAACATTGGTCACCATCACACCAGTGTAGACAGACTTCAGCAGGATTGTCACCATGACATTGTTGAAACAGGTGAGTTCAGTCATTGAAACATTGTCACAGTCTTCTCAGGTGAGTCATCTGTTGAAACTTTGTTACTGTGACACTGTTGGAGGGGTGAGTTCAGTCATTGGAACATTGTCACCATGACATTGTTGAAAGGGGTGAGTTCAGTCATTGGAACATTGTCACAGTAACATTGTTGAATTATGTGAGTGAGTTGTTGAAACATTGTCACATAACTGGATACTGATTATTGGATTTCATCAGGGCATTAATCATCACAGAACTAAATACAGATTATTGGATACAAGCAGAGCATTAACCATCACATAACTGGATACAGATTATTGGATACAAGCAGGCTATTAACCATCACATTACTGGATACAGATCACTGGATACAAGCAGGGCATTAACCATCACAGATTATTGGATACAAGCAGGGCATTAACCATCACATAACTGGATACAGATTATTGGATACAAGCAGGGCATTAACCATCACATAACTGGATACAGATTATTGGATACAAGCAGGGCATCAATCATCACATAACTGGATACAGATTATTGGATACAAGCAGGGCATCAATCATCACATAACTTACTGGATACAGATTATTGGATACAAGCAGAGCATTAACCATCACATTACTGGATACAGATTATTTGATACAAGCAGAGCATTAACCATCACATTACTGGATACAGATTATTGGATACAAGCAGAGCATTAACCATCATTACTGGATACAGATATATAGCAGACCATCATATAACTGGATACAGATTATTGGATACAAGCAGAGCACTAACCATCACATAACATACAATCAGAGCGCATAACATCACATACGGATCATCACAGAGCATTAACTCATATATGGATCATTGGATACAAGCAGGGCATTAACCATCACATAAATGGATACAGATTATTGGATACAAGCAGGGCAATAATCATCACATAACTAGATACAGATCACTGGATACAAGCAGGGCATCAATCATAACATAACTGGATACAGATTTTTGGATACAAGCAGAGCATTAACCATCACGTAACTGGATACAGATTATTGGATACAAGATGGACATCTAGCAGGGCCACAACCATCACATAACTGGATACAGCTCATTGGAGATAAAATGGGCAACAGAATTCATCCAACAGAGTAATTGGCAAGAGTCTTTCCTGTGTGCCAGAATGGGAGCAATACTTTACAAAGGACCAGCTGCGATATTTCACTTGGTAGTTACAAATATGTTTCTGTAATTAGTGATATGTGATATGAGCTGAATTAGTTGCCCATGAACTGGATTGTTCTTTGCAGAACAACTACTCAGAGGAGATGTATACAGTGACCTCAACTGTGGATAAGATCACCAACACTCTGGCAGTACCAACAGTCTGCACAGCTGTGCAAACATCTCTTCAAGTATGTATCTCGTGGAATATTTCCCTGTCTCTGTGCTGTGACCTGATACCTAATTTATCTCAGCTTGGTCAAGTTGACTGTCTTTTTTCAGGCTTCTGTGCACTTGATTTTAATACGGTACGGTCAAATCTCATTTGAGATTTGAGGAAGAGGTTTACAGTGAAGAGAGGAGCTGATTGCCATTAATAGTTTTACTTACACGGTGTGTCAAATATTCAGTACTTTATATTTCTGGTCCTGGGGCTTTTGCTCTCGAACAGTCTGCCCCTGTCTTCTGGAAGTATTTGTATATTTTAAAGGCAGGCCTATTCTAATTGATAACTGTAGCTTAGTGTTGCTTCTGCCGTGTTTTTCCAAAAGTCAAACTGGGTCTTATATTAATTGTTGTTTCAAAAAATGCACCAAGGCTTGTTTTCATGGGATCTTTAAATTTTTTTTCCTCTAAATTGTTTTTTTTAAAAGATAGCCGTGGGAGTTTCAAAAATTCTTTTCCTGTAGTCAACATATCTTTTTGCACTCGTCTAGGTGTCAAACTAGGTATTATTCCTTCAAGGCTACCATTAAATCAAGTGGTAATTGAAGACTTACAAGACATTTGTAGCAGCAACAATTGTAAGACTTAAGAACGATAGCACACACAAACGCCATGAAAAGTTTATTGCGCCAAAATTCTGCTTCTTAATTTGACACAAGTGTCCTACCTTGAAATATGAATTACATCTGTTCATTATGAAGGGAGCACCAGTTCTGTCTGTACTTCGACTGGCCATTTGGCAACAAGTCTCTCATTCTAGCTGATGATCTTAACTAGGGCTTTGTTTTTAGGGTAGGGCTTTTGCTAAAAGCATCCTGAAAACCCATGGGGGAGGGAGGTGGGTGGTTTTTTCAGCGAAAGACTAGCAGCAGTATGATAAACAAACTAACATGTATTGATTGGCACCAAGATGCAGAGATAGGACACATTAGACAGCATGAAGATCGAAAGCTGTAGTTACCATAACAGGACTTGAACCTGTCACTGCCAAATGACAATGGCACCATGCTGCAGCAACAAGTTTACTTTAACTCTAGACCAACTCAGCATGCCTTAGTTCTGGTTGGGCATGAGTTAAAGTCTATCAGACTGTTCCTTTTCCTAGCACAAGTCTTTACTGGGCCCAGGCCAGACCTGTATCCTTGCTTTCACTTTTGATAATTTCTTTTTAAAATTATTTTTTATATAAAAGTACACTTATATTTAAGTATATGAGTGAGATTGCAAGCCTAGAAGCACCAGGAGTCAGAAAGATACTGACTTTTGCAGATGATATACTTGTAAATAGGCAGGGGGATTAGAGGGAACAAACAGCCCGGGAGCTACAAGCGACAGTAGACAAAGTGTGACTGAGTGGTGTACAGAACTGAGGGCTGTTGTCCCCCGGAAAAGGCGTCTGTTTTGTGGTGTTCTCTGGACAACAATCGTTAAAACTAATTTCCCAAGTCTAACGATAGATGGTAGAAACGTCAACAGAGAGAGAGCAAACTGTGGTATCTGGGAATTACATTTGACAGGAGCCTGTCATTTAAGGACCACGTGGAGAGTGTTGTGACAAGATGCCAAAAAGGACTTAGTGCACTTAAGACTATGGCTGCAATTGACAAAGAGCAGAGAATGCTTTCCACACTATATCAGCACTTGATCCTGTCAGTGATTGATTATGGCCTGGGACTGCTTACCGTCTCAAAGAGTCAGATGGACAAACTAGAGTGCATACAGAACACAGCTATGCGGGTCATTATAGTTTGCACCAGAGACACCCCAGTGGTGTGTATGTGATACAGCCTTGGTTGGCCGACAGTTGCAGGTAGGCACAAGGTGCTGCAGGCGAAGTCATATCTCAGGGTAGCTGCAGACACAGATCACCCTTTGCATGAAGCTCTGGGTGCAGTTAAGGGTCAGAAGCTGATAAGAGTGAAGTCATGGATGGCTCAGGCAGAAGACACAATCAGACAGGTTTGCATCCTGAAGAAAATAATGCAAGGAGAAGAGTGAGTCAGGGGCCAGCTGAACAGTCAGACTTGTGTAGAGGCATAATCACGCTGAGCCGAGAATGCAGAGACTGGCCAGCAGGTGCCACGGAGGTGGACATTCAGGCTCGCTCTGATCATTTACACAGGCGGTTCAGTATCAAGAGGCAAAAGAAGTGCTTGGGGTTTCTTAGCAAAGGTTAATGGTCGCTGTTTGGTGCAGGAGAGCCTAGCATACAATACCACAACATCCAGCTTAAGAATGGAGGTGGAGGTGGTTACTTCAGCTTTCCACTGATTAGAGAACATCACACACACACATAAATCGTGATTGTAACTGACTCAGAAAGCATGCTGAGGAAGATCAGGACAGGCATGCTTTGTGCAGAATGGCATGCTTCACTGCAATGGACACAGGTGAGGAGTATTGTCTAGATTTTATTTCTCCGGGTACGCAGGTGTGTTGGTAAATGAACAGGCAGGCAGCCTGGCTGGCTCTGGACAACTTAGTGGAATATTGAGGCATGATAAGACGACGTGGTTGGGGTCTTGTGGGAGAGCGTGTACAGTTCGGAGGAGCAGATAGATCACCAGTCTGGTGAGATTGATGCAGCGGGAAGTGACGAAGGGTTCTGGCGGATGCTCAAGACTCGGGGGAAAGGCGAGACAAATTTTTAATCAGAATGCTACTGGCACCATTAGTATTGGAACACTGTGCTGGCTGTTGAAGATGGGGACGGAGTGCTTATGGGAATGCTCCGAGTGCTGTGAGTCAGTTCTTGAATCAACTCAGCTCATTTATATTTTATATTTTTTATAAATTATTGTAGTTATTGAGTGTCAGGTCCTCCTTGTGTGTTCTCAAGTTTTCTTTCCTACTGCTATCTGCTGATGTAAGTTTCTCAAAGCAACATCCTCTATTTCTTGTAACTGTTCTTGTTGTAAAGCTGACCACTTGTACTTGATGTTGTCTAATTGTTAACATTTCTTGTTGTAAAGCGAACCTGTTATAGTTAGTGCGGTCCACTTGTTTACAGTTCTTCTTGTCCCTGTTGTAAAGCGAACCTGTTAGTCAGTGTAGTCCACTTGTTTAAAGTTTTTCATGTCCCTTTTGTAAAGCGAACCTGTTAGTGTAGTCCACTTGTTTACAGTTTTCCATGTTCCTTTTGTAAAGCAGACCTGTTATAGACAGTGCAGTCTACTTGTTTAAAGTTTTCCATGTCCCTGTTGTAAAGCAGACCTGTTATAGACGGCGTGGTCCACTTGTTTACATTTCTCCATGTCCCTGTTGTAAAGCAGACCTGTTATAGACAGTGTGGTCCACTTGTTTACAGTTCTCCATGTCCCTGTTGTAAAGCAGACCTGTTATAGTCGGTGTGGTCCACTTGTTTACAGTTCTCCATGTCCCTGTTGTAAAGCAGACCTGTTATAGATGGTGTGGTCCACTTGTTTACAGTTCTCCATGTCCCTGTTGTAAAGCAGACCTGTTATAGATGGTGTGATCCAGTTATTTACAGTTCTCAATGTCCCTGTTGTAAAGCAGACCTGTTATAGTCGGTGTGGTCCAGTTATTTACAGTTCTCAATGTCCCTGTTGTAAAGCAGACCTGTTGTAGATGGTGTGGTCCACTTGTTTACAGTTCTCCATATCCCTGTTACAGCAGGCTTGCAGTACCTTCACTCAGACAGATGATGCTCCCTCAGTCCAGGAATCGCAGCATCTGTTGAATGAACAACTCTGGGAGGAGAGAATGGTGAAAGCCTTAAGAAGCCTTACCAAGAGAATGGAGAACAGGTTTGAGGAGGAAAAGAAGTTTGCACTAAAAGAACTTGCACAGCAGGTAGAGTCAACTAACCCTCTCTTGTATACAAATGTTTAGTTCTTCATTGTTTTTTAAAAGTGATAATTTTTATTTATTTTCTGAAAACTAGATCTTGTTTTGCTGTTCCATCGATGCAGGTTTACAATTTATTTGGCTTCTGCCTACTCTCTAAACCCTTTTTACCCTGTACAAATTTTTAAAGATGGCCTTTTTCTAAATTTAGCTTTTAATAAAGGCCTTACCTTAAAAATAAAACTGAGTTCAGATGATCGTTATAATTTTCTGAAACTACCCTAAGTAACTAGGGGAAGAAACTTGAAGTCTTGGTCAGTTTCCGGTTTTTAAAAAATAAGGCAAGAGGTTAAAACCTGTGACCACAGAGCAGGTAGGCAAGCGAGCCAGCTATTGCATCATCATCAACTATATGTTTATTGTGATTTAACAGTGAGAATAACAATTTGATTTGTGTTATGATCAGACCCACTATGTCTACAGACTGTTGTAGCAGTTGCAACCAGTGCCAAGACTGTTATATGGGTGTATTTGCCCCTGCTGAAAGACATGACATCACAGATCCATACCAATCAGAACATTGGCTTTCTCGGGCCAGGGTTACAACTTTAGTTGCCTCTTAGTCTAAATTGAGAATGCCCTGATATCTGTACACAGTTGTTGTTTAAGTGTCTGGTTGTCATTATCGGTTTAGTAGAAGTATCATTGCAGCAAAGCCTGTGTTGATTCTGGGACCCATTTGGGTAAAAGAACAGACACACTGAAAAGCTTGTCGTAAGGCTTTGACTAGTAAGTACAGAAAGTGGAAAAACATCCAGAACTCTCTCCACCGGAGGAGTTCATAACCGGTGGACCACTGAGAGAAGAAAAAGATATGCAGGTAAAACAACTCTCTTACTGCCAACTGTATTCATTCTGTTTTCAGCTACAAGAGGATTTTTGGGAAAGATAAGCAACAGGCAGTAGAGCGGACGCTGGCCCAACATGAAGCTGGAAGTTTGAGAAGGGCAAGAAAAAAAGGCTGGGGAAGACAGAGCCAGGGAGCAGTATATGGAGGAGATGAAAAAGTTGGCTGCCAAACACAAGGAGGCCATTTCTCAGGTCAAGAAGAAACAGTGGGTGAGTACAAGCAGTTGGCTGGGGACAAAGTCTGTTATATAACTGTGCTTGTGGTTTTATGTTTCTGTCTGCCTGTGTTAGACTGAAGCCACGTACCACTGTTGTTGTTGAAAGTCAAGATAATGATGTTTTATGTTTCTGTCTGCCTGTGTTAGGCTGAGGCCACGTACCACTGTTTTTGTTGAACAAGATAATGATGTTTTATGTTTCTGTCTGCCTGTGTTAGGCTGAAGCCACGTACCACTGTTTTTTTTGTTGAAGAAGATAATGATGTTTTTTTGATGTTTCTGTCTGCCTGTGTTAGGCTGAAGCCACGTACCACTGTTTTTGTTGAAGAAGATAATGATGTTTTTATGTTTCTGTCTGCCTGTGTTAGGCTGAAGCCACGTACCACTGTTTTTGTTGAACAAGATAATGATGTTTTATGTTTCTGTCTGCCTGTGTTAGGCTGAAGCCACGTACCACTGTTTTTGTTGAAGAAGATAATGATGTTTTATGTTTCTGTCTGCCTGTGTTAGGCTGAAGCCACGTACCACTGTTTTTGTTGAAGAAGATAATGATGTTTTATGTTTCTGTCTGCCTGTGTTGGGCTGAAGCCACGTACCACTGTTTTTGTTGAAGAAGATAATGATGTTTTATGTTTCTGTCTGCCTGTGTTTGGGCTGAAGCCACGTACCACTGTTTTTTGTTGTTGAAGAAGATAATGATGTTTTATGTTTCTGTCTGCCTGTGTTAGGCTGAAGCCACGTACCACTGTTTTTGTTGAAGAAGATAATGATGTTTTATGTTTCTGTCTGCCTGTGTTAGGCTGAGCCACGTACCACTGTTTTTGTTGAAGATAGTTTTTTTTGTTGATGATGTTTTATGTTTCTGTCTGCCTGTGTTAGGCTGAAGCCACGTACCACTGTTTTTGTTGAAGAAGATAATGATGTTTTATGTTTCTGTCTGCCTGTGTTAGGCTGAAGCCACGTACCACTGTTTTTGTTGAAGAAGATAATGATGTTTTATGTTTCTGTCTGCCTGTGGTAGGCTGAGACCACGTACCACTGTTTTTGTTGAAGATAATGATGTTTTATGTTTCTGTCTGCCTGTGTTAGGCTGAAGCCACGTACCACTGTTTTTGTTGAAGAAGATAATGATGTTTTATGTTTCTGTCTGCCTGTGTTAGGCTGAAGCCACGTACCACTGTTTTTGTTGAAGAAGATAATGATGTTTTATGTTTCTGTCTGCCTGTGTTAGGCTGAAGCCACGTACCACTGTTTTTGTTGAAGAAGATAATGATGTTTTATGTTTCTGTCTGCCTGTGTTAGGCTGAAGCCACATACCACTGTTTTTGTTGAAGAAGATAATGATGTTTTATGTTTCTGTCTGCCTGTGGTAGGCTGAGACCACGTGCCACTGTTTTTGTTGAAGAAGATAATGATGTTTTTTATGTTTTCTGTCTGCCTGTGTTAGGCTGAAGCCACGTACCACTGTTTTTTGTTGAAGATAAGATAATGATGTTTTATGTTTCTGTCTGCCTGTGTTAGGGCTGAAGCCACCTGTGTAACCACTGTTTTTGTTGAAGAAGATAATGATGTTTTATGTTTCTGTCTGCCTGTGTTAGGCTGAAGCCACGTACCACTGTTTTTGTTGTTGAAGATAATGATGTTTTATGTTTCTGTCTGCCTGTGCCACGTTACTGTTTTTGGCTGAAGCCACGTACCACTGTTTTTGTTGAAGAAGATAATGATGTTTTATGTTTCTGTCTGCTGTGTTGCCTGTGTGTTAGGCTGAAAGCCAAGAACATACCACTGTTTTTGTTGAAGAAGATTGAAGATGTTTTGATGTTTTTTCTGTCTGTCCCTGTGTTAGGCTGAAAGCCACGTACCACTGTTTTTGTTGAAGAAGAATAAATGATGTTTTTATGTTTCTGTCTGCCTGTGTTTAGGCTGAAGCCACGTACCACTGTTTTTTGTTGAAGAAGATAATGATGTTTTATGTTTCTGTCTGCCTGTGTTAGGCTGAAGCCACGTACCACTGTTTTTGTTGAAGAGATAATGATGTTTTATGTTTCTGTCTGCCTGTGTTAGCTGAAGCCACGTACCACTGTTTTGTTGAAGAAGATAATGATGTTTTATGTTTCTGTCTGCCTGTGTTAGGCTGAAGCCACGTACCACTGTTTTTGTTGATGTATGATGTTTTAGTTTCTGTTCTGCCTGTGTAAGAAGCCACGTACCACTGTTTTTGTTGAAGAAGATAATGATGTTTTATGTTTCTGTCTGCCTGTGTGTTAGGCTGAAGCCACGTACCACTGTTTTTGTTGAAGAAGATAATGATGTTTTATGTTTCTGTCTGCCTGTGTTAGGGCTGAAGCCACGTACCACTGTTTTTGTTGAAGTCACTGATGTTTTTTTCTGTTTGTAGTGCCTGTTGTGAGGCTGAAGCCATGTACCACTGTTGTTTTGAAAGTCAAGATGATGATGTTTTGTTTCTGTCTGCCTGTGTGCCAGCTGAAGCCACGTACCACTGTTTTTGTTGAAAGAAGATATGATGATTTTTTTGTTTCTGTCTGCCTGTGTTAGGCTGAAGCCACGTACCACTGTTTTTGTTGAAGAAGATAATGATGTTTTATGTTTCTGTCTGCCTGTGTTAGGCTGAAGCCACGTACCACTGTTTTGTTGAAAGAAGATAATGATGTTTTTTGTTTCTGTCTACCTGTTTGTGCCAGACCACTGTTTTTGTTGAAGCTGAAGCCATGTACCACTTAGTTGAAGCCACGTACCACTGTTTTTTGTTGAAGAAGATAATGATGTTTTATGTTTCTGTCTGCCTGTGTACCACTGTTTTTTGAGGCTGAAGCCATGTACCACTGTTTTTTGTTGAAAGAAGATAATGATGTTTGTTTCTGTTTCTGTAGTGCCAGAACTGTGAGGCTGAAGCCATGTACCACTGTTTTTGTTGAAAGTCAAGATGATGATGTTTTGTTTCTGTCTACCTGTAGTGCCAGAAGGTGAGGCTGAAGCCATGACCACTGTTTTGTTGTTGAAAAGTCAAGATGATGTTGTTTTGTTTCTGTCTACCTGTAGTGCCAGAACTGTGAGGCTGAAGCCACGTACCACTGTTTTTGTTGAAAGTCAAGATGATGATGTTTTTTCTGTCTATGTTTCTGTCTGAACTTCTGTCTGTACCTGTTTTTGTTGAAAGTCAAGATGCCAGAAAGCCTGAAGCCACGTACCACTGTTGTTGTTGAAGAAGATGATGATGTTTTATGTCTGTCTGTGTAGTGCCAGAACTGTGAGGCTGAAGCCATGTACCACTGTTGTTGTTGAAAGTCAAGATGATGATGTTTTATGTTTCTGTCTACCTGTGTGCCAGAACTGCTGAAGCCATGTACCACTGTTTTTGTTGAAAGTCAAGATGATGATGTTTTTTTCTTTCTACCTGTAGTGCCAGAACTGTGAGGCTGAAGCCATGTACCACTGTTTTTGTTGAAAAGAAAGATGATGATGTTTTTTTTTGTTTCTGTCTACCTGTAGTGCCAGAACTGTGAGGCTGAAGCATGTACCACTGTTGTTGTTGAAAGTCAAGATGATGATGTTTTTGTTTCTGTCTGCCTGTAGTGCCAGAACTGTGAGGCTGAAGCCATGTACCACTGTTGTTGTTGTTGTTGAAAGTCAAGATGATGATGTTTTGTTTCTGTCTACCTGTAGTGCCAGAACTGTGAGGCTGAAGCCATGTACCACTGTTGTTGTTGAAAGTCAAGATGATGATGTTTTGTTTCTGTCTACCTGTAGTGCCAGAACTGTGAGGCTGAAGCCATGTACCACTGTTGTTGTTGAAAGTCAAGATGATGATGTTTTGTGTCTGTCTACCTGTAGTGCCAGAACTGTGAGGCTGAAGCATGTACACACTGTTTTGTTGAAAGTCAATGATGATGATGTTTTGTTTCTGTCTACCTGTAGTGCCCATGTAACTGTTGTTGCTGAAGCCATGTACCACTGTAGTTTTGTTGAAGCTGAAGCCATGTGATGTTTTTTTTGAAAGTCTGTCTACCTGTAGTGCCAGAACTGTGAGGCTGAAGCCATGTACCACTGTTGTTGTTGAAAAAGTCAAGATGATGATGTTTTGTTTCTGTCTACCTGTAGTGCCAGAACTGTGAGGCTGAAGCCATGTACACTGTTGTTGTTGTTGAAAAGTCAAGATGATGATGTTTTGTTTCTGTCTACCTGTAGTGCCAGAACTGTGAGGCTGAAGCCATGTACCACTGTTTTTGTTGAAAGTCAAGATGATGATGTTTTGTTTCTGTCTACCTGTAGTGCCCAGAACTGTGAGGCTGAAGCCATGTACCACTGTTGTTGTTGAAAGTCAAGATGATGATGTTTTGTTTCTGTCTACCTGTAGTGCCAGAACTGTGAGGCTGAAGCCATGTACCCACTGTTGTTGTTGAAAGTCAAGATGATGATGTTTTGTTTCTGTCTACCTGTGGTGCCAGAACTGTGAGGCTGAAGCCATGTACCACTGTTGTTGTTGAAAGTCAAGATGATGATGTTTTGTTTCTGTCTACCTGTAGTGCCAGAACTGTGAGGCTGAAGCCATGTACCACTGTTGTTGTTGAAAAGTCAAGATGATGATGTTTTTTTCTGTCTACCTGTAGTGCCAGAACTGTGAGGCTGAAGCCATGTACCACTGTTGTTGTTGAAAGTCAAGATGATGATGTTTTGTTTCTGTCTACCTGTAGTGCCAGAACTGTGAGGCTGAAGCCATGTACCACTGTTGTTGTTGAAAGTCAAGATGATGATGTTTTGTTTCTGTCTACCTGTAGTGCCAGAACTGTGAGGCTGAAGCCATGTACCACTGTTGTTGTTGTTGTTGAAAGTCAAGATGATGATGTTTTGTTTCTGTCTACCTGTAGTGCCAGAACTGTGAGGCTGAAGCCATGTACCACTGTTGTTGTTGAAAGTCAAGATGATGATGTTTTGTTTCTGTCTACCTGTAGTGCCAGAACTGTGAGGCTGAAGCCATGTACCACTGTTGTTGTTGAAAGTCAAGATGATGATGTTTTGTTTCTGTCTACCTGTAGTGCCAGAACTGTGAGGCTGAAGCCATGTACCACTGTTGTTGTTGAAAGTCAAGATGATGATGTTTGTTTCTGTCTACCTGTAGTGCCAGAACTGTGAGGCTGAAGCCATGTAGGCCACTGTTGTTGTTGAAAGTCAAGATGATGATGTTTTGTTTCTGTCTACCTGTAGTGCCAGAAACTGTGAGGCTGAAGCCATGTACCACTGTTGTTGTTTGAAAGTCAAGATGATGATGTTTTTGTTTCTGTCTACCTGTAGTGCCAGAACTGTGAGGCTGAAGCCATGTACCACTGTTTGTTGTGAAAGTCAAGATGATGATGTTTTGTTTCTGTCTACCTGTAGTGCCAGAACTGTGAGGCTGAAGCCATGTACCACTGTTTGTTGTTGAAAGTCAAGATGATGATGTTTTGTTTCTGTCTACCTGTAGTGCCAGAACTGTGAGGCTGAAGCCATGTACCACTGTTGTTGTTGAAAGTCAAGATGATGATGTTTTTTGTTTCTGTCTACCTGTAGTGCCAGAACTGTGAGGCTGAAGCCATGTACCACTGTTTTTGTTGAAAGTCAAGATGATGATGTTTTTGTTTCTGTCTACCTGTAGTGCCAGAACTGTGAGGCTGAAGCCATGTACCTCTGTTGTTGTTTGAAAGTCAAGATGATGATTTTTGTTTCTGTCTACCTGTAGTGCCAGAACTGTGAGGCTGAAGCCATGTACCACTGTTGTTGTTGAAAGTCAAGATGATGATGTTTTGTTTTCTGTCTACCTGTAGTGCCAGAACTGTGAGGCTGAAGCCATGTACCACTGTTGTTGTGTTGTTTCATGAAAGTCAAGATGATGATGTTTTGTTTTCTGTCTACCTGTAGTGCCAGAACTGTGAGGCTGAAGCCATGTACCACTGTTGTTGTTGAAAGTCAAGATGATGATGTTTTGTTTCTGTCTACCTGTAGTGCCAGAACTGTGAGGCTG